AAGTCTCCAGGAACTGATGGAATACCAATTAAGATGCTTCAACAAATGGATGTAACACTGGAAACACTTACTTGTCTGTGTCAAGCCATTTGGAAGACAGTTACCTGGCCAGTAGACTGAGAGAGATTCATATTCGTGTTCATTCCAAAGAAAGGCAATCAAATGGAATGTGAAAATTATCGAACAATATCATTAATATTGCACGCTAGTAAATTTTTGCTGAAGAAAATTCACAAACAACTGCAGCCATACATTGACAGAGAACTGCCAGTTCAAGCTGGACTCAGAAGAGGATGTGGAAGGAAGGCTATCACTGCTACAGTCAGACGGATCTTGGCTGAAAGCAGAGAATATCAGAAAGATGTTTATGTGTTTTATTGACTACACGAAGGCATTTGACTGTGTGGATCATAACAAATTACAGATAACGCTGTAAAGAATGGGAATTCCAGAACACTTAATTGGGCTCATAAGGAACCTGTACATGGATCAAGAGGCAGTCATTTGAACAGAAGGGGACGATGTATGGTTTAAAACTGGAAAAGGTGTATAGCAGGGTTGTGTCCTTTCACCTTATTTATTCAATCTGTATGCTGAGCAAATAATCTGGGAAGCTGAACTGTATGAGAAGAACATAGCAATAGGATTGGAGAAAGACTCATTAACAACCTATGATGTTCAGATGACACAACCTTGCTTGCCAAAAATGAAGACGATTTGAATCACTTACTGATGAAGGTCAAAGACTACAGCCTTCAGGATGGATTCCACCTGAACGTGAAGAAAACAAAAATCCTCACAATTGGACTGATAAACAACATCATGCCAAATGGCGAAGAAATTGAAGTTGCCAACAATTTCATTCTACTTGGATCAACAACCAATGTCTATGGAAGCAGCAGTCAAGAAATTAAAACATGTATTGCATCGGGCAAATCTGTTGCAAAAGACCTCTTTAAAGTTTTAAAAGGCAAAGATGTCACTCTGGTGACTAAGGTGCCCCTCACCCAAGCCATGGTCTTGTCAATCATCTCATATGCATGTGAAAACTGAACAATAAAAAAGGAAGATTGAAGGAGAATTGATGCATTTGAATTGTAGCGTTGGTATAGAATACTGAATATACTATGGACTTCCAGAACAAACAAATCAGTCTTAGAAGAAATACATTCAGAACGCTCCTTAGAATCAAGGATGGTGACAGTTCTGCTCACCTACTTCAGACACGTCATTAGGAAAGACCAATCACTAGAGAGGGACATCATGTTTGGTAAAGTGAAGGGTCCTCAATGAGATAGACTGACAAAATCACTACAACAATGCACTCAAACATACCAATGATCATGAAGATGGCACAGGACCAGGCAACATATTTGTTCTGTTATATATAAGGTTGCCATGAGTTGGAGCCCATTCCATAGCAACTAACAACAACAAAGGAAGAAAGGTGGAGTCCTTGGGTGGTGCAAATGGTTAACATGCTTGGCTGCTAACCGGAAGGTTGGAGGATCAAGTCCGCCCAGATGTGCCTTGGAAGAAAAGCCTGGCAATTTACTGCCAAAAAAATCAGGTATTGAAAACCCTATGGCGCACAGTTGTACTCTGACACACATGGGGGGTCATCATGAGTTGGATCAACTTGATGGCAACTGGTTTCGTTAGGAAAAAGGGCGCTACATACCTGAGTTAATCATTACTTATTGCCCCCTAATTGTCCTAGTCAAACAGAATGTCACTAATTGAGAAAATAAGATACTATGTAACCTTTCTTCCCTTTAGGTTCTGTCTTTCATTGCAGCCTTCCCCTGTCCCTCAGTGAAAGACACTCATTCTGGCTGAGAGACCCTGGCCCATTACCTAACCTCTCTTAGCCTGTTTTCTCATCTGTTAAATGGATTGAAAGCCCCTGCCTCTGAGGTTGCAATCAGGGCTTCATGTGACAGTGTGAGGAAAGAGTACAGCCTGTGGGATCACGGGCCCCCACACGTGCCTCTCTTCCTCCTCCCTAACTGGTCTGGAACCACTGGGCTCTTTCAAGGGAAAATGGCTTGCTATCAGGGAGGGGCATCCTCTGCCCAGCTCCCACCCCACTCAGCCTGGCCTGCAATGTCCCCAGCCGGCCCGGGTAAGACTCCAGCATGGGCAAAGCAGCTCAGCTGGGCACTTCCCCCTTCTCCACCTGGGAGCCCAGGGCCCTCCTGCTCTTCCAGAATACTCAGGGTGCTCCCTTGGGTTCCATCCGCATGGAACTTGTGCTCTCTCCACGTCATCCAAGGGTCTTCAGAATTCTGCCCATTCCTGACAGTTGTGTGACATCAATTCATTTTAGGGGATCAAAAGCTGAGGGCAGGCTAACAGGATGCCTCTTGGGCAGCATGAGTGTACAGGAAGGACAGGCTCAGTGGCTGGAGTCAGCAGTGGCCACAAGTGAGTAGGCTGCCAGGGACACACTGTTGCTCATCACGTCTCCCCATGGGGGTGTCTTCCACCCTGCTGCTATTGGGCAGAAGGTACAAGGCAGCTAGGGTATGAAGTGGAGATAGCTTCCTGTTCCTGAGGCCTGGAAGGGACCCTTGATAGACACTGCCCAGGGGAATGGGAGAGAAGGACTCAGGACAACATGTGGATAAATGTCATTTGGGGAAGCTGCATAGCAGGAGGTGCCAGCCCGGTTTGGAGGCTCTGCTCTTTTCTGCAGCCTCAATAGTGGCAGGCGGTACCCACCTGCAGGTTCTGCCTGAAGTTCTGGAACCAATTCACACTTAGGGAGCACCCAGGAGGAAGCACCCCATCTCCTGGAGACCAGGCTGGCCAGTTCTGCAGGCTGGGACCCCGGGCCTCATTTTAGAGGCACAGCTCTTCGTGTTTCTGTCTGCTTTGGCATTGGTGCCAGTTATAGATTGAATGGCATCCCCAGAACATACGTGTTGTGACTCATAGCCCCTATACTTGCTGCAATCCCATTTGGGAATAGGACTTTCTTTTTATGTTAATGACGCCATGTCAGCACAGGGTGTGTTTCTGTGATACAACATGAGCAGATTCGGCAGAGAGGAGCGAGCAGAGATGGGGAAGACAGATGCCACGCCACATGAAGATCGCCAAGGGACTGAGGAACAGAAGCTGAAAAGAGACAAGGACATTCCCCCAGAGCCAACAGAGACAGAAAGCTTTCCCCTAGAGGTGGCAACCTGAATTTGGACTTCTAGCCTCCTAACTGTGAGAAAATAAATTTCTCTTTGTTAAAGCCATCCACTTGTGGTATCTCTGTTATAGGGGCACTAGATAGATAACAAAGACCGTGCCCTCCTGACTTCTTGCTCTGCGAAGTCACCCAGCCCTCCAGGTCTCCTCCCAGGATGAGATGCTGCCCCGAGCTCCAGCCCTTAGACAGTCTTCCCTCAGGCCAACTACGTGCAGGGTAGCTCCTGAGCCACAACATCCCTGGCCAGTTCCCTGATTCTGTGCTTCTTCAGCTCCGGGGTGGGGGGAGGCCTGGGGGAGCCTCTGCTCCTCTATCTGATTCCCAGTGCTGCCAGCTGGACCGCAGGCTGCTCTGGCCTTCCCCTGGGGCCAGGGCCTCCCTGTCTGCACACAGATGGCCATGGGCTCTGTGGAGCTGCCCTGCCCAGGTCCCTGCATGTTTCCAATAGCACCCCCAGCCCTTTCTCAAAGTACTGGCCATGCCATGTGCCTTGTGGTCTGTAGGACAGTAAAAAGCAGGAAGCTTTGGGGGTGAACGGACTTAGGTTCAAATACTAGTTCCACCACTTACTAACTGAGCTGTTTCCATTGATCGCTGAACCGCTGACACTTGGTGTTATCTTCTGGAAACTGGGAATAGTAATCTGGGGAGTTGTTGTGAGGATTCTTCAGGACCACACATGTTGGAAGGTTTGAACAGGACCAAACATGTTGGCATTGCTCAATAAATCAGAACTGTTAATGGCATTATTATCATTATTATCATATAACCCGCTAAATTTTCTCAATTTGATACTCTCCAGCATTTAACAATTTTAGGCTCGCTTCCATATCTTTGAAGAGTTTGAAACAAAGTGACATTACATCACTTCTAAGAAGGATGGGTTAATTTCCTTTTCCCTAGTGTATTAAAGGTTTTTTTTTTAATTGAGATGAAATTTATGTAACATAAAATTAACCACTTTCAAGTGTGCCTTTCAGTGTCATTCAGTACGTTCACAACGTTGCAGAATCACCACCTCTATCTAGTTTCAAAACATTTTTATCTCCAAAAGGAAACACTGTACCTATTAAGCAGTCAGTCCCCATTCTCTGCCCACCCCCTCACCCATCCCCTGGCAACCACTAATCTGCTTTCTGTCTCTATGGATTTACCTATTTTGGATATTTCATATAAATGGAAGCATACAATATGTGACCTTCTGTATCTGGCTTCTTTCATTTAAAATGTGTTCAAGGTTCATCCACATTGTAGCATGAACCGGTCCTTCATTCATTTCTGTGGTTGAATAATATTCCATTGAATGGATATACCACTATTGGTTTATCCACTGACCGGTTGATGGACATTTGGGTTGTTCCATCATTTGTGAATACTGCTGCTCTGAACATTTGTGTACAAGTATTTGAGTATCTATTTTTGATTCTTTTGAATATATATCTAGGAGTAGAATTGTTGGGACATAAATCCTAAAATTTTAAAGTTAAAACATTAGGTTCTGGGTTTCAGCAGTAACCCTGAAGCATCCCCCTGCAGAACGCACGTGTGTGTGAGTGTGTGTGTGTATGCAATTGTATGTGTGGGTGTGAATGGGTATTTGACTACCTGTGGGTACATCTGTGTAAATGCCTGTGAGGGCGTGTGCACATGCATGTTTGTGTATGTGAATATGTGAATGTATACGTGTGTGTGTGTGTGTGTGTGTGAATACCCATGCCCTCTGGCAAAAGCCAGGCTTGCAATGGGAGGGTGGGGCCTGCGCCCCTTGCAGAGCCGGCCATGCCATGCTGCTTACCTCCATGTTTCTACAGAAGGTGGCGTTGGTGCCAAACAGGATCTGGCACTGCTCATTGGCACTGTAGTGCATGCCCGGCAGCTTGTGAGGGAGGCGCACTGCGTGCTGGCTCCGGGGGTCCGTGACCAGCAAACAGGTGCTGACTTTTGACCTGAAATAGCCACAAGGCAAGTCAACTTGGAAATGTACTATTTAGGTTTTTGTTTAGATTTTTCAGCCAGAGATGGCTGTACCTCCAAATCATTTATGGGAAGAAGACCCAGGCACGGGGCATGTGGACTACGCTTATAGAGATTCCGATGCTTTTTCCACACAGCACGGTGCAGATCTTTACTCTGGAGGTGGTGGAGCATGGACACTAGGAAGAAGCATGGGAATACATAAGACCGACGAGACTAGTGTACTTTGCTCCAGGAGTTTGAGACCTTTCTTTGGTGAAAATGCTTTTGAAATAAGTTACTATGATATTTGCTTAGAACATGGTTTTGAGCAAAAGTTACTGTGAATAAAAAAGAGCACAAGTTAAGGTTGTTTGATTTTGTTTTAAATAAGAGTGAAGCGCTTATTTCCAGCTCAGCATCGACTTCTCTTCGTGGGCCTGTCGGGCCTTGACAGCCTGACGGACCAGGTTTCCCATCTGACTACACCGCTCGCCATCACAAAAACCTACCAGATGGGGTGATCTGCAAAGGATTTAATGGATGGGAATGCTCGCTTACAATTAGGAAAACCCCTCCTAACAACTGAGCTGGGAATTGTGAGGATGTGGACCTATTAGGAGGTTAAATACTTGGATGTTTTTATTTTTCAATTCCTAAAGCAAAGCAGATGATGGTAAAAAGAAAATCCAGCCCCTTGCCAAGATTCTTTAAGAAAAGAGCTGCATGCATGCAAGCACACACGTGCTGATCCTGACCCACCTCTCCCCGGCTCAGACACACACTGTGTGATCAGAGGCAGGGTGACCACTTGTGGGTGGGGATATGGAAACACCCCACCTTGTTTCGCTGGCCATTCTGGGTAAACAAAAATCATGTCGAGTGACTTACAAACTTTCATTAAGATTCTGTGATAACAAATACTCAGTAGGAAACAGTCTATATTAAAACAACTGAGTTCATTTTTAAGCCTGTGTACCACTTAAATAATTTCCCCCATCAACAGGATAACATCATGGAAAAACAATCCAGATGAGGACAGAAGCCAGAGTGATGCTTTCAACAATTCACCCAAATCTACTGGGTACTTAATGGCTTGTTGGACTGTGTAGACTGGCTGTCTCACTTCTGTCCCTGGAAGACCAATCTTTTTTCTTTTTTTCCAATCACGGTAAAGGTATATATAACAAAACATTTGCCATTTCAACATTCTTCACATGTACAACTCAGTGACATTAACTGTGTTCATCATGTTGTACAACCTGCACCACTATCTGTTTCCACACTATACCATGACCCTTACCAGAAGCTCAGTGCCCCCTGAACAATGGGTACCCCTTCCCCACTCCCTCTCAGCCACCCCTGGTAACCACTAATAAAATTAGGTCTCTATACACTTGCCTATTCTAGATATTTCATATAAATGTGATCATGCTATATTTGTCCTTTTGGATCTGACTTATTTCACTCATCATAATGTTTTCAAGGTTCATCCATGTTGTAGGATGCATGAAGACTTCATTTCTCTTTATGGCTAAGGAATATTCCAGGGTCTGGAAACACATATCTGCAGGTCAAATCAGTAAGTCCAGCCCTGAGGCCTTGACATTAAGAGACCCACTTTGCCCGTGGGTACAGACTCTGTGTGACAAAAATCAGAGGGCTATTCGTCCACATAAATCTGAGAAGAATGGGATGGCCCAGACATCTTCTGGAAAGAAAGTGGCCATGAGCTAGACACATCCATTCCTTAGATGTGAGGAAAGTGAGCAATCTCTCCTCCCCAGGAAATTTCTTTCCTATCAAGAGACTTGCCCCCAGCAACCAGGAAATGCTATTGTACAGCAGCCCAAGGATGGCTTGGAGGTGGCGTCCACTCACAGTCAAAATAATACAGAAAAATGGAATGGGGTTCCTTTCAAGACACTGTCACTATATTGGTCTTTCAATCAATCAACAAGCATTTATGATCACCGGTTGGGTGCCTATCATCATACCAGGTACATCCTTGGGAGCAAGGTCTTGTTACAGGAGAGTCTGCACTGATCTGCCTCTCCAGCCAGCTGAGAATTCTAAAGAAGAGTCATTTTTCCTTTTCACATTTGCTGAGACTTTTTTTTTTTTTTGGCTTTTGTAAGTACTTCCTATCATAGTGATTCTATAGACTGATTCAAGGACTTACTTAAGGAAGTTTTCAAGGTCATCTCGACTGCAGGAGGACCATGAGAGGTCACTGGGGTTCCGGCCTTTGACCCACTCTCCCGACATGATGTGGGACCTCCCAGCACAGGATGAATGGTCATCATCATGGTTCATCCCCAAGCTGCCGTGGAAGAAGGGCAGACAGACACTTACGTTAGGCTACAGGCTTCTCATTTCCAGTTCCAGGTCCTGGCATGCTTAAATCAATCTTAAATACAAAAGGTGACATAGGGTGACACCCGGTTCTTACAGACCAATAGTGATAGTTTGCAGAAAATATACAGGGTAAAGGTTTGCTTACTTAGTGAATAAAGATTGATTGAGCACCTAAAAGCCACTAATAGCATTTGCTAAATACATGAATACTAAACGAACGAACAAAGAATTAACTGTGATAGTATGGTTCTTAAACTCTAAGCTTTTAATGATTAGATTTATTTTCCCACATTAAAATATCCCAATGTTAATGACTGCTATAGATTGAATTGTATCCCCCCAAAATGTGTGCCAACTTAGCTAGGCCATGATTCCCAGTATTGTGTGACTGTCCATTTTGTCATCTGATGTGATTTTCCTACGGGTTGTAAATCCTACCTGTACAATGAGGCAGTTATGTTAATGAGGCAGGACTCAACCTACAGGATTAGGCTGTATTTTGAGTCAATCTCTTTTGAGATATAAAAGAGAGAAGTGAGCATAGAGACAGGGGACCTCATACCACCAAGAAAGTAGTGCCAGGAGCAGAGTGAGCCCTTTGGGCCCAAAGTCCCTGCACTGAAAAGCTCCTAGACCAGGGGAAGATTGATGACAGGGACCTTCCCCCAGAACCAACAGAGAGAGAAAACCTTCCCCTGGAGCTGGCACCCTGAATTTGAATGTCTAGCCTCGTAAAGTGTGAGAGAATAAATTTTTCTTTGTTAAAGCTAAGCACTTGCGGTATCTGTTATGGCAGCACTACATAACTAAGACAGAATTTGGTACCAGGAGTGAGGTGCTGCTCTAACAGATACCTAAAACATGGAAGCGGTTTGTGAAAGGGCAGAGGCTGGAAGAGTTTTCAAGTGCCCAACAATAAAAGCCTAGATTACCCTGAAGAGACTTTTGGTGGAATTATGGACATCCAAGACAATTCTGTGGAGGACTCAGAAGGAAGTGAGGGGAGGTGTTACACTGGAGACAGCAGAGACAGTGAGAAGCAGCAGCTGAGAAATGGCAGTAGAAGAGAAATGGCAACAGCAGAACCAGGAGACCAGCGTGAGACAGCGCTGGAGCTGACCTACGGGGCGAGAGAGAGATGAGTGCCTTTTGCGCAGGAGGCTTCCTGGTGGAGTGGGGTGCCTCTGAACACTTATTGGTGGAGCTAGGCTTGCCGACCCACAGAGCAAGAGAGCTGAGTGCCTTCCAGCCAAAGTTTACTGGTGGAGTGAGGTGCCTTCAGGCACTTATCAATGGAGCTAAAGAACTTTGGAACAACTGCCTCAGCAGGGCAGATGGGCAGTGAGGCCCGAGGTGCTGAGAGACCAAGGAACCAGAAAGCAGAAGCTGAAGAGACAAGGAACTCAGAAAGCAGAGCTGCCTCAGTCTCAAAGGGTAGGCCATGACCTATGGGGTCTCAAAGGGTAGAATCACTACTCAGATGGAGAGAGAACAGAGTTGCCATTCCAGTGGGCCTGGAAGGTGGAGCTGAAGCCCAGGGCCAAGGGGCCTCCACTCAGAATCTGGAGAGAATGGCCAACACCGAGAGTCTGGAGGGCAGGGCCATTGCCAAAATGGTCTCAGAGAACAGAGGATTATTTTCAAGGTTTGAGAGCTAACGTAATGTGTTCTGCTGGCTTGCCTGGTGCCTGTTATCCCTTGTTTCCTTCCAATTTCTTCCATTTGTAATGGAAATGTCTACCTTGTGCCTGTTCCACCACTGTACTTGGGAAGCAGAAAACTTGTATTCTAGATTTCAAAGATGAAGAGGAAGTTTTGGATTTTGGACTTGGAGTTGATTTAAGACTTTTGCTATGAGATGATGTGGTGAATGTGTTTTACACATGGCAAGCATATGAATTTTGGGGGGCCAATGGGTGGAATGTTATGGATTGAATCGTGTACCTCAAAAATGTGTGTCAACTTGGCTAGGCCATGATTCCCAGTATTGTGTGACTGTCTACCATTTTGTCATCTGATGTGATTCTCCTATGTGTTATAAATCCTACCTCTGTGATGTTAATGTTAATTAGAGGTAATTACGTTAATAAGGCAGGACTCAATCTACAAAATCAGGTTGTATCTTAAGTCAATTTCTTTTGAGATATAAAAGAGAGAACCGAGCAGAGAGACCGGGGACCTCATTACCACCAAGCAAGAAGAGCCAGGAGCATGTGTCCTTTGGACCTGAGGTCCCTGCACTGAAAAGTTCCTACACCAGGGGAAGACAGATGACAAGGACCTTCCCCCAGAGCCAACAGAGACAGAAAGCCTTCCCCTGGGCCTGGCACACTGACTTCAGACTTCTAGCCTCCTAAACTGTGAGAGAATAAATTTCTCCTTGTTAAAGCCATCTACTTATGGTATTTCTGTTACAGGAGCACTAGATAACAAAGACAACGACCTAAGTGTTTTGTGTGCCTTAGAGATAAGTTACTGTGCAAGGGGCTAGTGGGAACCATCCAAGACTTTGACCTATAGAATATCATGGCTTCAAGTCTTTCAACTACAACAAATTGTGGCTTTTATGTTTCCCATCACTATAACTGGGTCCACCAAGATCACACCTGTTGTCCCCCAAGTTGTGCCTGAAAGATACCAGGATGCTTGTCTAGGTCTTGGAGGGGAGTGGCCACATACTCTGAAGTGAACAATGATCTTTATTTATACACTTGTGGTCACTGGAGAAAGATGAGAGGCAGAACACACTAGACTAGATGGGCCAAAGTTTGCTGACCCACGATTCCCAGAGCAAAGACACAGCGTGTATAAAAATGCACATTCTTTGTCAACCATTCCAGTTGAAGAAGTCATATGCTTTCATTCATTCAAAAATATTTACAAGATGTTTCCCAAGTGCCAGGTAATGGACTAGAAGGAGAAGATACAACAGTGAACAAGTTGCCACCCTGACCTCAAATTCTGGCAAGCCTGGGAGAGGACATGGACACAAGAGGAGATGATGATAAAAAATGGGTAATAAGTGCTTCCCCGGAGCCACATTTTGTGAGTCTTCTTCATGTCTCTGCTCATCCCTCATCAACTCTGTTTGCTGCTTAAATGCTAGGGTCTCACAGAGAGCGGTCCACTTATCTTACCCTGCACACGTTCCAGAGACTCCCGTGTTCTCCCTACAGAAACTCCTCCTTAACCCACCCCCACTGGGGCTGGATAAGCTGATGTTCATCCATGACCTTTGTAAAACACATTGCTGGTGCTCATGCGCCCTGAATCGGGGCTAGCAGGCCCGCCTCTGGTCACTCACTCATTTCTGCTCCCATCAGTTTAAACTGTATTTATTCTCAAACCTATTTATGCCAGTTATGCCTGTTATTTCAATTAATACAGGTGGTTACATGTTGTATAAACCAATGAAATATGAGAAGAACAGGAAAGATGTTGTTTTTAGGAAAACAAATTTAGCTGGTAATAGATTCCTGTCAAACTGATGTGGGCAAGACTACTATAAAAGATTGGAAAAAAAGCTACAAAAATCTGTCCCCAGACTACTTCACAAGCGTCTTTTATGCCCCTGCTCCAACCTAAAGAAAATGACAGTGGGGATTCAGACTCACTGCACTATAGGTGTGGCTTGTGTGACATGGAATTCCCACCAACACACAAGCAAATGCAAAAAAAAAAAAGCTTTTTCATCATAAAATTCATGAAAAAGAATAACATTTTCATGGTTTAAGTTAAAAAAAAGTGTTGAAAGCATCTAAGTATAACATCTTTATGTTTTTCTACTTCAACCAAATTTTTTGTTCAATTGACCAACCACTATCTTGTCAGAAAAGAGCTTCTACGGCACCTCCCAGAGATGATGGCCACCACATTCTTCCTCAGTCCAGAATTCTCGACCTAACTCCAGGCTCTCTCCACTAGGCTCTCTTTCCCATAGGCTCTTCCAACTCACAGATTTCCTCATGGCATCTTTGTATCCCAGCTTCTGGTCAGTGATTGGCACATTGTAAGAACTCAATAAATACTTATCGAGTAAATTATCTCTTTAATATTGAAGAAAGTGCCCCTAAATTGGAAACTCCATATCCATGATATTTGTGCTAATTCTAGTGCAGTGGTAACTTGCTCAACAGAATAATGAATGATTTACAGTTAGATTCAGTCTCATTCTCCTGCTTAGATGCCAAGTATGCATTTAGTTGGGGTTCAATGAGGAACCAAGAAATTATTAAATAAATCTGACCAACAAAAATAACTTAGATAAATTTCCAACAGTCACTTTGCTGAATAAAGTGAGTCCTACTTTTCAATTCAATTATTTAGCTTTTTACTTTTTACTTTTTTTTACACACAAACACACACTCACATATGCATACCACGTTAACTTTTAAGAAACTGCCTGGTTCTTCAAGTACCTTTAGTGAAGGTTATCAAATCACCTTGATATCGGAGCCCTGGTAGTGTGGTGGTTAAGACCTTGGCTGCTAACCAACAGGTCCGCAGTTTGAATCCACCAGCCTATGGGCCAGCTCTACTCTGTCCTACAGGGTTGCTATGAATTGTAATCGACTTGACGGCAACGGGCTTGGTTTTTTGGTTTGGTATCAAGTCACCTTAAATTTGATTTAGGGTTTGATTTGACATCTTTAAATAAAACTGGTGATAGAGTTTTTCATGGGTAGATCTTCTGAAAATTTTGATAGATTTCAATGAACTCTGTTAAATGTATATAGGTTACAGAAATAAAATGTCTCATGAAAAAAGTGATTTTAACAGTCATATTAACAGGATATGATACGATATATGATATAATTTTAGCAGATGGACCAAGTAGACTGTTTTGTCACCACCTTCGTCAGGCGTGGTCCTTGCTCATGATGGTCACAACCCATAGGGCACGGAAGTCATGGTCTGACTCACTGACTAGACTCTCTTTTCTCCACATAGTCTGTGCCTTGGAAG